TAGTAGTTAAGGTTTTTCTGTCTATCGGATTGCTCAAAATTACAGTAATGATATAGTTGCCCCTTTCAAGATATGTGTGAGTGTAAGTTTGATTGTCTGTGAAATCAGCTGTCACCATTGGAGTGCTGTCGTTCCAAGACACTTTTGCTTGAGTGAGTTCAGCAAATGGGCCCGATTTCCAAGTGACAACGATGGTTGCCGGAGAGTTTGAGGCTACAAGGCTCTTAGTTAAGTTCAAAGTATAGACACCTAAAGGTGCGATAACATAAAGGAGCCGGTCTATATTTATTTGAACACCTCCAGATCTGGCGATTACAGAAGTCTTGAATTGGCCGGTTTCCAAGTAGACATGGGACGAGAGCACCTGACTGGGAGGGGGCGTTGCTGGAGTTCCGTCTATGTTGACTGGTACGGAGCCGTCGCCGAAATCAAAAGTAAATCGCACGTTACTGCCGTATTTCAAAGTAGCCGAGAGGGTGAATTGCTGATTTATGGAAATGTACCTGAGTTTTGTGGACAAAGAGGTGTTGTTAAGTGATCAACAAAATAATTACTCACCCCAATAGAGGAGTAAAATACTGAGATATGTATGTCACCTGGCAAAAATACCGATAGATATAAAAATACATTAGATATTAAGTCTAGTTATAAAGTCAATCAATTATATCATATAGTATTATATGATATCACTGTAAAATGAAGTTATTCATGTAGAATTAAGAGGCATAATCTCATCTAGCTTATAGGCGATCGGGATCTAGTTTGTGTATTTGATTGATATATGATGAAACAGCGTAATAGATTCGTAACATGGCCAGGTGAGATAATAAAGTAATATTTGTTCAAAGTATATGAAAGCCAGCAATCTTCAAATAGAAGAGAGACAAAGAACTATGAAAAGTCCATCGGTAAAGTTAAAAAGTCATATTTGCCTCAATACGAGAGATTAATTCGAATCAAAACAATGGATAAATTGTATATATGATCTCCTATAAGCGATTAAAATCTGTAATGGCTCCACATTCGGTACCAGCACTGTTGGCAGTCTACTCAGTCTATACTAACTTCCCCAACAATATGAACACAATAAGGACTTGTCAAAATTTATGTGAATACTGGAAGCTATTCGTGAAATGATGGCCATATTTCTCTTGGTATAGTATATTTTTTCTCCATATCGTAAAGTCTAGAAACTTGCTTTGATGAGATCTGTCACAGTACGGACGAAAGCTTAGCACATTTTCTTCGAGGTCGCAGGATGTTGAGCCGAGGTCTTCTTCGCACAATTCAACAGTCTTCCCTACGCGACAAACCTCCGTGTGGCCACATCGCGAATTCTTTCCAAACACCTTTTCCTTCACAATGGAACGTCATATCACAATATACAACAAAGAAATTCTTAGAAATACAGTTTTTATTCATATCTCTTACATAAAACCGGCTCGATTTTTAGCTTTAATCATACCTCTCCGGACCTCAATTCTCGACGTTTCAGTCTGAAAAGAGGTTTGATTTGTATAAAAATGATTTTGTCTAGCGTGCACCGATAAGCGAAATTTGACCGTCTTTGATACCTATTCAGTTATACACCTAAGACGGTGGCAGCTTAAATTCTGGCCAACTATTTGGGCTATATTTGAATTAGATGGTTAGATGAAGAGCGATACGTAGGTCAAGCTAACAAGCTAGCAGATTGTGAAATGAATTTCCATTTCGACATAAATGTTGGTTGGAAGGAATTTGTGATGTACCGAAAACAAAAGGAGGATTATCGCATAGAAAAGACTGTCGAATTGTGCGAAGAAATCCTCTGCACAACGTCCTGCGAATCGAATAAAATTGTGCTAAGATTTTTATGTATTGTGACAGATATTATCAAAGCAGGAATCCATACTTCACGAAATTGAGTAACAGTAAACCAGATACGAAGAGTAAATTGGTTTCAATGATTCTCGTGGGATAACATTGTTGGGGAGACTTTCATTTCGTATAAAAATGCATGAAGAAGAATTACGAAGGTCGATGTCACCGGAAGAGAACGGTTGAATCCCGTTGTATTGCAGGCGCTTGGCTTCAATACGACGTTCAGGTTGATGCAGTCCACGTGACATCCTACGTCGTTTCGGGTGAAAAATGTCTCAACTTTCGTCCATCAAATGATGGACATCATCAGAGCTGGAATTTTCAATTCTTAAAAGTCTCATGGTAACACAAGACCAAGAAGACTATCCGCTGTATTGTGCGAAGAAGTCCTTGGCTCACGGTCCTGCGAACCCGATAAAAGTCTGCTACAGACGTAATCTTTTTCGTCTGTAGCTTTACAGATATCATCAGAGCAAGAATCCATACTTTAAGAAGTTGCGCAAAAATATACTAAATCAAGAGGAAAGGAGGCTGGCTGAAACCATAGTCGCTTTTTTATACGCTTTACATCGCGATCTTAATCAGACAACCCGAACCGGAAAGACGTTCGGTGGCAGCTGTTGCGTTACACATAAAACTAGCGTACGATTGTCTAAAGTTGAATCATGTTCGCATTTGTGCTATTCTCTATTGTGCGTATGCAATGTTCATGTTATGCGAGTTGTAGAGTAAGGATTAAGTAATCAGCCAACACATGGGAGGCCTCATTAAGATCGCGATGTTAAGTGCATGATAAAAAGGACTAGGGTTGCAGCCGGCCATCTTCTTCTCTTGGTTGACTATAGTTTTGCTCTATTTCGTAGAGCATGGAATCTCGCCACATAACAGACGAAAGCTTAGCACGGTTTCATTGTGGTCGCAGAACAATGAGCTGGGGAGTTCTTCACACGATTCAACAGTCTTCCTTACGCAACAATCCTCCTTCGGTTTGCAGTGAGACCACATCACGAATTCTTTCCAACCAACTTCCCCTTCGAAATGGAGAATCATGCCACAATATTTCATTAAGGAAATCTTCGAAATCCAGTTTTTTTCATATAACTAAAGAAAGTCTGCGGGTTTATTTAAGCACTATTTTTATCCTCCACTTTCTCACTTGTTCTCCTATCTCATTTGAAAGAAGACATCACGGCAAAAGCAGCACATGAGAAAAGTTATCATCGTGCCTATCTTTAACTAAATAGTCTCCCACAATAATATGAGTAAAGCTAATGTTTCCATTGAATTTCCCATACCTTGACGTTCCAACAGTTGTTCTCATTCAGGCTGGATTGCAGTTTCGACTTTGCATAGGAATTATCAACAACTCCAACGGGAGTCGAACCACAAGGCAATGTGAAATTCATTACAAACGTCAGCTATATTCATATAATTGTGGGAAAATTCTACTACCAGTCTTTTATCACCTTAAAATAAATAGGGTGAATACATCTCATATAACTAATTAACTGGGAGTTTCGAATCTCTATCTGAAAATTTATTCCTCACTAATGCGATATTATGAACAGTCAAGCCCAATGGATACATATTTTCCAGCAATAAATCTTTCAGCAGTTCCAACTCTTTAGTCAAATGGTTGCTATCCGCTAGGTCCATACTACTAATATTGATTGATTTAAAAATCACAACCTTAGTGAATGTTGATGTTATGTCTATGTACACAAATATTCCTGTTCAAGAGCCATTCAGGTTCTAGCACAAACTCTGGAGGAGCGTCCAGCAATCATACAAGGAATAAGGCCAATTATAGCCTCCATTCGTGGACATCTTTACTTATCCATGGGTATCGGCTATTTACCTTTGATGGTAAGTTATATGAACAAACAGAAGGACTTGCGATGTTATCTTGCCTGGCTTCCATTTTGGTGAAACATTATATGGCAAGACTGGAGGAACACTTCCTGGAAGAAGTATTACTAACCCCCAAATTTTTGGTTAGCTATATGGATGACTATTTTGTGATCTGGTCTCATGGTGAGGAAAGCCTAGATAGTTTCATACTTCCACTTAATCAATGTGAAAGGAACATTGGGTTTACGATGGAAATAAAAAGGATAGGTCCGTACCGTTTTTGGATGTTATTATGATTAGAACATGATTCGGTTATCTATTCCAAATTTACTCAACATGCTTGCAAATAAGTGAAGTTACTTCTCAAACCGGAAGTGCGTTAGATGGAAGCCGTTTTCGTACACAAATAAAACTAGAATACGATTCTATAACATTGAATCATGTCTGGGCTTGTGCTAGTGTCTATCGTGCGTGTACGCGTGTAATGTTCATGTCATGGGAAATCATAGCAAGATCCGAGGCTAATCCAGCCTCCTTCTCTTCTGCAGTGGCCCTTACTGCAACTCCTCTCTCGTTTTCCTTAAGTCTATTCAACAGTCACAAATAGTTTCTATTCAGTTTTCTGCACTCGTTCCTTTTATTCTGCACGTGGACTATTTTGTCCACTTCTATAGACACCATAAACTTATGCTTTAATGGGGAGTCCCCGTAACACGCAACATTTTGTGATTTGGACCAGTATCTTGACTATCCTGTATTGGCAAAATATGTTCAGCGAGCTCATTTGCGAGTGGTTTTATTTTCGTATAATTTCGTATGGATGGATCGACCTCTCTGCCCCCCCATGGACCTTACCACATGATCACACAATTTTGTAGCAGACTGATCTAGAAATTGAGTCGAATATTCTCTGAACGAATGGACTACTAAGAAAGTGTCTATTTTTATTTATACTTTATCGCAATCTGTCAAGAAGGCAAGATCAGGAACCGAGTAGAATAGCCAAATTTTCCATCCCATCCCAGATAGCAAACTCTCCTTATCCTCTTTTTAAACAATACATACCTCATTCTACCGATCTCGTGATCCCTGTGGTTTACATCTGCCAAACAGCACAGTAATCATCCATACAACTAACCAATAAATTGGGACTAGGAGTGTCTCTTGAAGCACACGAACTTCTAATTGGACCATGTAATTATTAGTTAAAATAAGGGTCATATAAGATCCCATTGGCAAGCTCCGTACCTGCTCATACAACTTGACATTGAAGGTAAAATATTTATTATACATTAATGAATTGACTATTCTAATGATCGCATCTTTGCCTAACATTTTAGCTATTATAATTTCATGGTTTTGATATTGAGTTAATTCTAAAGCCCTGATTGTATTGTTTATCGGAATATTAGTGTACATAGACAATACATTGAAACCTACCAACAAGACTCCTCTTTATATCGGCCGATCTTCAAGTAACTTTATAAAGTGTCAAAAGTTCATTACCGAAGACTTCTAAGTTACGGAGATTTGCTGTAATTGAGAACAAATAAATCTTGAGGTAGTAACAAAGAGTAATTGGGTTTCGGTTAATCGTCTGAGATCACATTGTTGAGGGGGCCTTCATTTTGTGGACATTCCTTTTTATCAAAAGAGATAGGCGAATTAGTAAGAAAACGGGGGATAAAAACAGTGTTCAAATAAACCCTCACACTTTCTTCTGTTATGCCATTTTTTGGAGAGAAATAAGAACCATTATCGAGATCCGGCTGCTACAAGATTGTGTGCTCCTGTTGTCGACTCTATTTTACCAATACATGCAGTCTCATTGGACAAAGTTTAGACGAACACAAAAATGCTTATAAAAGGAACCGTGTCAAAAGGTCAGGCGTGGGCGAGAACATGGCATAGACTGGACATGAGATAAAATGATCTCAAACTAGTAGGTTTTCAGATTTCGCTACGTCTACTGTTAAAATAAAATGAGAGAGGCTATTGAAATTAATAGATTAGGAAATACGTTGAATGTGAGGAACGATGGCAGAAATGTGAGTAGAAACTATTTATGCTTGATTGAAAGATTGAAGGAGACTGAGGATGTTGAGCTGCCGTCCAATAGAAGACGACTCGACTTGTCTGCTCAGTGAGGCTTCTACCTTCACTCACACTCGTCCAACATTTTAGATTAAACTCATCAACCAAACCAGACGTATGAGCTTACGCAGCCCCAGCCATTCTTTTTCTTGAGTGGTTAAACGTCAATGATTATAGACTGAGAGGTTTAGACATGTGGTTTCGTAACTTGACTTACATGCTTACAAGCTTACATCTTTTTATCTCAACTATGCTTGCTTACGGACTTACGCAGTCTCAGTCAGGGCTTTTTCTTGATGACCAGAGCCTGACATTATCCTTTTGATCACTCTGATTTAAGACCGGTATTGCATCAAGACGTCAAGACACATAAAGGCACATACACAGATACTCCTATACAAGTAGTAGGACCAGCATGAAAGATAATTAGCCAAACCATTCTATATCTGCTTATGAAAATTGGGTTTCTAGGACTCTCTTATTTCATAATTTTTGAGCTTACTTTCATTTCGCGTGAGAGTTTTTGGTGAAGAGATTCGAAGGTCAATTTCTCCAGAAGACGACAGCGGATTCCTTTTGACCAGCTGTCGATTGGCTTTACTGGAACATTCATGCTGATGCTGTTTCCGAGTTAATCTCCCTTGACTTTGGTGCAAGGTGATAAGCTTTCGTCCGTCATATGACGAACATCATCAGATCAAGGTATCACCGTCACAACCAACTTTAATCTACCCAGTAAAGAAACGGAGACAGCGTCAGCCTGAATGTTCCAGTAAAGCCAATCCACGGCTGGCTAAGAGGAATGCTCCGTCGTCTTCTGGTGGAATCAACCTTCGATTCTCTTCACTTTCACTCGAAATGGAATTAAACTCAACATTCTAAATCTATCTTTTTTTTTAATTTTCTTCTGCTTAATTGAGTCTATTTAAGAGGTAGGATAGAACAGGGTAGTCTTCTTGTCCTAGTTTTAACTTGCGACTTTTCCCAAAATTAGTTCCAGCTCCGGTGATGTCCATCATATGTTTGACGAAAGCTCAACCCGTTTTTGATCCTAAATGAGTGTACTGCGTCAATCTGAACATCATATAAAAGCCAATCGGCTGCATTACGATGGGATTCTGCCGTACTCTTCTGGTGAGATCGACCTACGAATATCTTCTTCATGAACATTCCTACGAAAGAAAAGTCCCCCCCAATAATAAATCCTGATGGTTTATACATCGCGCTACCTCTAGTATACATGATACTCCTGAGGTACCTTGCTTATGAGCTTTTATTTGTCTTATGACAGGCATCATCAGAA